CTCTTAAAAAAAAGTATCCCTGTTCAGGTCTTGGTATTTAGCAAAACCTTTGATAGGCCATGATAGAGGAGATCATTCACTTAGTGCATTTATTTCTAGGTCCTTTATTGAGCATTTAGCAAAGCCTAAGCACTGTGCTTGGCACTAGGGGAGCTTAAGTTACACCGTGGGTTTGTGCACTGGGCTGCTCATCAGACTTTGTAGGAGACCCAGGAGGCTACCTGCTCTGTTCTCTGAGAGCCTAGGAAATGGTCCTACTTTGTCCTCTAGGATCACAGGGTTGGAATACACTCAAAGGCGAGGGGTTGGTTTGGTTTAGTGTTGATTAGTGATACATAAAAAATAAAGAAGCTATGGTACCTGCTTCTAGGAACTCACAATCATATTCAAAGAAATTATTAGTTATGGTTCAGTGGGGAAAGAGCTCTGTGTATAAGACCACAGAGCAGAGACACTTAATTCGTGCTTAAATGTGTATCTAGGAAAGGGGCATTCAATGAAAACGTCCAGGAGGAGCCGATGTTTAAACATCAGTAAACATGGATGGTAAAACATCAGTAAAAAAAATCAGCTTTCCAGGCGATGGGCAGAACAAACTCATTGCCGTATAGAATGGAGTAGAACTGCCCCGTGGGTTTCCAAGGCTACACGTCTTTATGGGGCAGAAAACCTCATCTTTGTCCTGTAGACCACTTGGTGGTTTAAAGCGGTGACCTTGCGATTGATTGACAGTCTAACTTGTAATCCAATCCACCACTAGGACTCCATGGGCTATAAAAAGATCCTGAATAATCCTTGAGAAGGAATACGAGATTTTAGAGGGTCATTGGGAGTATGGAGAAAGATGACCACGACGGGCAGAAAGAGATGTGCTACAGAGGCCGTGGAACGAACAAGGTGTGCATGATCGATTGACCCCATGGTGTTTGCGCTAGAAGGCAGTGATTTTAATCTAAGAACATACGTGAACCTGTAGCCAGTTAAGGAAAGTGGCCTGGGTTAAAAGGGCTTGGATATTTTTCAAACTCAGTCAGTGAGCAGCTAAATGAATTGAGATTTAAAAAAAAACACTCTCACTTTCCCAAATTGCCACACACGCATACATGCTTTCCCTATGTCCTGGATTAGCAGTTCTTATCTATCTCTAGTTATTATCCTGGATGTTATTTATTTTTAAAAATTAAACTTTTCGACCAGTGAATGTGGAAGAAATCCATGCGTCACCATGGTCGATACTGTTGGGCTTCGGAAGCCCTTTTCTGAAACGCTTATGAGAGAAGCTCTCTAATGGGGGACCAGGCAGAGAATGTCAACTTTCTGTGGATTTCAGGTCAAAAATGTGCTTGAGAGAGCACCCTAAGAGGAAAGGTGTCACACGGCACTTTCCAGGGACATCGCTTTAGAAGAAAATCTATATTAAAAATGACCACAGAAAAAGAAAGAATCGTTCCCACTTGAGTAAGATTAAACTTGGACTCTTAATCTACTGAGAGTTGGAAAGAGAACTGTTCTTCCAGTTCCCTGCTGTACTAACGGGAACTCTGCTAATCTCTATTTATAAATTGGCTGTATTTCTTGCACTTAACTCACAGGCTGCCAGAGCAACTTTGGATTTGACAGATGTTTCTCATATTTACATTGACTACGAACCACCTCAGGCATGCCAGAGAGCTCATTTCCATTTGCCCCACCTGGGGTCATTCGCACTGACAAGCATCCTCAAGGCTGGACAGACACAGCGCTGCTTGTGTCAGGCAGCCTGGAAGTGGCTCTGGACTCACACACTCGTGTTTCAGGAGGAAAGTATGCATCATTTTCTCCGTTAGTGGTTGGCACGTAGACCCCTAAACAAGTAGCTGAGGGCAGAGCCGGCTGAACGTGTCCCAACAGATGGCATGGTTAGCTCAGACTTTCCAGCCTTGTCAGGCCTCTGACTGGGCTCATTCTGTGCCCCTTTGTCCGCTCGCTCGCTCAGGGAGCTCTACTTACACACAGGAGGGCACCTGCTCGGCCACCACGAACCTGCATCTCCCTTTGATGCAGTAATGCTTGTATTGCTTGGGGCACCGAGAGAAGTGACCTCTTCGTCTTGGCTGCGTGATGGTGACTAGAAAAATGAGAAAAGGCTCAATCAACTCATTTTAAGTACACATTTGTAAATAGGAGACTATCCTGACCTTTGCTGCCAGAATTTTGCAGGATGTATTCCAATCTCTCATTTCTCCTTGCCTCTTTATCAGGAATAAAGGACTTTTGTGACCCTAAAATAGCTGTAAAGAATCAGAAATGAAAGTTACCAGTGGGAATATTTCATAGTTTAATTAATTAATTAAAATATATATACTTGTATTGTTGAAGCCAACCTTGCTGAAATGTTGGCCTGGTTTAAAGAATAAACCACAGGCATGGTAAAAGAAAGAGCCTTGGTGGTGTAGTGGGTTATGTGTTGGGTTGCTAACTGCAAGATCAGCAGTTCAAAACCACCAGCCACGCCTCAGGAGAAAGATGAGGCTTTCTACTCTCCCAAAATCTTAGAAATGCACACAGGTTGTTCTACTCTGTCCTACAGAGTCTCAGAATCCACTTGATGGCAGGGAGTTTGCTTTTCTTGTTTCCTTTGATGATAAGAAAGGAAACGTTTCTCACCAGGAAGATTGTCACAGCATTCAGCTAATGATATTGAGCAGATGGGAGGATTTTGTCCTGTTTTCATGTTTTCCTTTCTATTATTTTCTAACTGTAACACTTCCATCGCGCTGATTTGTGTGTCAGATATGGGTTTGCAATTGGATAAGAACTCAAAAGTTGATGGTTCAAACTCACCCAGTGACCCTGCCAGGCAACCTGCTTCCATCTGAAGGAGAAACTTCCTGGGGGCAGAATACACAGGACTGCCGCGAGCCAGGGGCCTTTAACAGCAACAATGCTCAGAACACCTGTGTCCCTTTCGTTCTGTCTTATAAACAGAGGTTAATCAATCCTCCAAGTTACACAACACTAAGTGGCAGAACAGGACCTCAGACTCAGTCATCTTGGCCCAGATGCCATGCTCTTAGACGCTGTACTCTGACATCTTTGGTATGCTGGCTGGTCAGCGGCTATCTGTCATCCAGTCTCACGCAGAGTGCCAGGTCGTCACAGCGGTATGAATGGGGACCTGTCGCGCTCAAGGGATGCTTTGCCTGGGCCCAAAAGACAAGGAGGAACTAGAAGCATCATGTCCTGAATGTCAGTCTTGCACTCACTTGTCTTTCCTTCTTAGAGACCTGCTTTCTTAACTTCTCACCTGGAGACGATGAGGCCTACCAACTCTCCATCATTCACATAGAAACAGGCTCAATAAACAAGGAGGAGCGAGAGAAGCAGAAATATGAACTAGCTATTTCATCGGTTGATTCACAGCTAGTGTGTGCCCATACCCAGAGAAAGCACTAAGTAGTCAGGCCCTGCCCAGGGCTTGGCTTTCCACGATCATGATCTAATAGCAGTGTGTGGGCCTCAAACACCTTGGGAACCAGAGAGACCAAACTGTGGTCACATCAGATGGGCATTTCCCATTCAGTTTGACTTAGTACTCAACATTCCATTGCATTCAAAAATCAGTTGTTAATAGCAACGACTACAGAACTTTCTAAACAGTATTATGAAATCATGTGTGACATCTCGGGGCCACCACAAGGAGGACTCTCAGAAGGCTTTGAATGATGTTTGTAAAGCAAATTCCTGTGGTGCCCAGTCACTGCACCAAGTCGCTGAGTGTGGCAGAATGTTGCTCAGTAGCCAGCAGACCAGTTTCAGTTGGTGACTCCTTTGCCAGACCTACTGACAGTGTGGGCTGACACTGGCTCCCATGGCTGCCTGTTAATGGGACTCCCACACAGGATTGGCATGACTCCCACAAGGAACTGCACGCCATGCAAACCCCCAGATCCTTTGTCAAATACATTGAACAATTAGCACATACTTAATGCTTTGTATCTCTATATCTCTACAGCAAGCATTGGAAATAGCAAAGAAATTAAGTACCGCCTTTATGACTCTCTGCTTTAGTGCCACAGCAATAGGAACAAAATTAACAGGAACAATCACCCTTTACCAGTACAGACAACGATCGTAGCCATATAACGAGGTGTGGTGTGCTGGAAAGAGGGAAAACATTGGACTCCTAAGAAGGAAATTAGCATTAAATTGTGAGCTCTGCCTTTTATTCACTCTGTGAATCTTGACAAACTGTTCAAGTTCTCTGAATTACTATGTCTTCCTCAATAAATCCAAATATAGACAAATTCTGCTGGGAAGATGTACAGCCAGAATGCTCCTTAGAGGCAATGATGGTGAGATTTTGTCTCATGTACTTTGGACACGTTCAGAGAGACTGGTCCCTGGCGAAAAGTGGAGGGGCAGTGGAAAAGAGGAAGACTCTCGACATGATGGATTGACACTGTGGCTATAACAATGGGCTCCAACATAAGACCAATGGTGGGGATGGTGCAGAATCAAGCAGTGGTGCATTCTGTTGGACAAAAGAGTCACCATGAATTGGAGCCAACTTGACAATAACAACAAGCCAAAGATGAAAACCACCTAAAAAAGAGATACATGTTTAGCTTTTAAGAGTGTGTTTATCTCAGAGGTGGCCACTACACTTCTGTTGATGGCGCAGCCTGCCCTTGGGAAGAATAGTCAACATCAAGTATACCATCCCCCAATGGGACAATATGCCCAGTATTATGTTCCTAACTCGACACCTTTGACCTAGTTTTTATTCAGCCCTTAGTGACCCAGGCCATGTACTATAGGCTTTTTGAGGTGTACAATATCCTTCAGAGGCCATGCCAGAAGAATCTAACTAGGTTCTACCTTAAACATACCTGTAGCACATTGAAGGAACCGAACTATGATCTTGGACTTACGGCTAAAATGCCCTGGTGAAAGATGAGGTAGAGCATTGAGATCCCAAGGATATGAATGTGGAAGCCACTGGATTTGGGTTAAAAACATTTACTTTGAGGGTGCTCAATAAATGGCAACTCAAGACTACCATAATTGTGTTATTTTCATACTATTTCATACTCTTTGACTTCTTGTAGCAGTTTTACTCCAGCAGGCATGGTTCTGTGCCATGTTTCTGTCTTTGAGCATTATCAAAAGTTTTATCCTATACATGCTTGCTTTCCATTTCTCAAGTGTTTTAAATCTATACAGTTGTCTGAATTAATATCAATAGAACTACGATATGTCCCATAGGGATGGTTCACAGTGTTCTTCAATAAAATAATAATGATGTCTCTAAAATGAACCCAGGACATGTATTAACCATAGGTATAGGAATAGATTTTGAGCTTGTACTTAATTCTAGTTCTAATCTAAAAACAATTGATTCTGTTAACATGGCCCTACTCCATACTTGTGCTCATGCAGAGATTTTTGAAGACATGGGTGCTATAGCAAATTGTGGGGACTAAACCAGAAGGTGTCCACCTACCAGAAAGAATAGCATCTGGAATGTTAAAAGTGTGTCTTAAAACAAGCTGCCATTTAAAAGAAGCAACAGCTAAGCCTGCATTGAAGAAGCATGCCAGCCAGTGTGATTCAAGGATTGTAAGTAATAAAATCCAAATCTGGAGGAGGGAATGGTATTAGAACTTAAATTCTGAACAGCTGCTATGCAGAAGGCTATGAATGACAATGAAAGTCCCACAATCCATTTTCAGTATTCCCCATGTGGATTAAGCCTCCAGTGAATCCCCTTTGTTTATAGGCCAGGGATGGAAATGGCATTGTTACCAGAGAAACTGCTTTGTAGTTCTACCCTGTCCTAAAGAATCAGTATGCATCAGCATCACCTCAATGTCAGTGAGTTTGGTTAGTTTTTCATTGGAATGTATGATGTGTGAATTATATGTCAATAAGTGTTTTAAAATATAATGGGGTTTTTCATAATTTTAAAACATATATGTATGTGAGTGCTATATATATATTTAAATTTTTAAAAACATATATGTGATATGTATGTATATATATATTATATATATAATCTCCCTAGCACACTGCTTAGGGCAATAAAAGTATGAACAAGTTAGTTGGCTGTAAAATCTTGAGAATGTTGGCAATCTTAAGAGAAAATCAAGCCTCTGGGTCTCCTTATAGGCATAATTAGTACCTAGCTGAGTTAGGTAGTTTATCGTGCCAACCTTGCCAATAAACACATGTGAGGGTAATTGAAGGGTGGAGAGATAAAAGGCTCGGTAAGCCTCAACTTTTGAGTTCTTGAGTCTCTTAGTTTGTGATGGTTGGACCAGGGTGCAGCTGTCTTAGTCAGTTCCCTGCTTCAGCTGGCAAGGCTCACTTCCTGCAAGACATCTCTGAGGAGAAGCCACATGGAACTACCCTGATGTAGCCCTGGGTGCTGGAGCCGGCGTGTGGAGACCCCTTACACATTCACTGACTCTGCTTTCCTCCTGCAGTCACCATCATAGTGTGTGTTTTGTGACATGGAGGAGGACTTTGTGGATTGGTATCACACATACAGGTTAATGTTGGACTTGTGGGCTTGTTGTAGACTTGGGCAGCTCTGGGCTGGGATGTTTCCTTGATGTGCACTTACCCTTTATATAAAACTGTCTCTTATACATATGTGTCTCTGTAGATTTATTTCTCTAATGTACCCAGACTAACACACTAGCTCATCAAAAAGACTCTCTTTTCCATTTTAGGCAAAGGTGAGCAAGCAACTGATTTATGAAGGATGTCAGGAACGAAGGCACAGAGTCAGGAAATGCAGGCCCAGTGCAGAGGATGGGAGGCAGATTTCATTGGCAGAGAAGGATCAAGAAGGGGAGCACAGGCAGAGTGTGGAAGGTAAAGGCTGCAAACCCTGCAGTATTTACATTTGAAATACGTACTTGCAAATGCAGAAGAGAGCTGATGAAGATGCTTACAGATTAATTTAAATAATTACATTTTTAAAATTCCTGTTTATGTCCCATTGATTCCAAATCATGGTACTCCATGTGTTCTGGAGTGGAACTGCTCCAAGGGGTTTTCTTGGCTGTCATTTTTATGGAAGCAGATTGCCAGATCTTTCTTTTGCAGTACTGCTGGGTG